CGGGGGGGGGGGGGGGGGGGGCTCTCCCCCAGCCAGTGCCAACTGGCTTGGGCTCAGGCCATGGGGTGTAGCTGCGCCCTGCCCCTTCCCTGGCGCTTCCGAGCAAAACCAAGCAAAGTGGGAGGGGAAACTGAGGCACAGAGGAGCACTCCCTGGCCACCAGCTCAGTGCTCTGTCTCATGCGGCCTGCCGTGCCTCAGTTTCCCTCCCTGTGACATGGGGCTAATAGGTGGTGAGGGATTGTGTCAGACCCCAGCAGGATGGGGGTGCTGGGACCAGCAGGGTGAGATTATGACTCCAAACGCTGAAGGACAGAAGCATGGGGCTGGGGGAAGTGTTCCCATTCCCTTCGCCCCTGCAGGTTGCGGGGCAGCCACGAAGGTGGTGCAATGTCTGGGGGGCAGGGGTGGCTGCTTTGGTTACGCTGGCCCGGAGCCCTCATGTGGCTCAGGTGCGGAGCGGCCATTGATTTCAGTCATTACAGCCTGGCCTGGGGCTTTCTCCTCCATGTCAGGTGGGGGCAGCCAGAGGGCATCAGGGAAGAGGTAGCAGAAAAGTGCAGCAAGAGGAATGCAGGGCTGGGGGCCACAGGGCAACGATGGGGTCTCTGTTAGCAAATGGAGCCCCAGCCTCAGAGCATGGGGCCCCTTGTTGCATGACGCCCTCCATTGTACAGATGGGGAAACTGAGGCGCAGGGCAGGGTCACACAGCCAGGCGAGACCAGCCGAGGCAGAACAAGATCCCAGGCCGAGATCCCAAGCCGCCCTCCCGTAGAAACAAGCTCATCCCCTCCAGCCCCCCTCTCTCCACAGCCTCACTAATGCTGATGCTCTTGTCCTCCCAGGTGTAGGGCCCTGGCTCCCTCTTGTCCTCCTCTGCAGCTGCGTCCACTTCCCAAGCACAGGTAAGGCGAGGATGGCGCCCAGGCCGGACCTGAAAGGGTCCTTGTGCTTGGGAACGTGTGGGACAAACAGCTGCGTCTCCTTGCTGGGGACAGACAGACAGGGTGCGGGAGAGCTCCCCAGATACTGTGACTCTGCCAAGGTCCCCAGACCCCTGCGTATGCTGGTCTCATTCCCTGAAGGGCAGAGCTTTTACTGGAGCTGTCCAACCTGTGTGGCTCCTCCAGAAACTCCGCTGAGGAGCCACATATCACTGGGCTAGTGCAGGAATCCCTGGGCGAGCTCTGGCTTGGGGCAGTCGCAGGGAGCGGACATGGTACCTTCTGGCCATAGGAATTCAAAGAGTTTTATCGATGATCTCCTGCAGCAGCGAGTTCCACAGGTGAAAAAGTACCTGCCATGCCCCACACTCTGTTAGGGGCTTGAGGGCCCAGCTCATTGGCTTTAAAAGGGTCAGTTCACCCTATCTCCTCCCCTGCCCCATGTCCACGTTGCTGCCCCTGGCCATGTTCATCATTTCCTAGCTCTGTCTTGCTGTGAGGCTGGCTGGGACCCCTGTTGCATGTACGGCAGCCACCGGCATTAGGCCTGGATTTGGGGGCTCTACTATTGCCAGATTTAGTCAATCATCACGGGTGACCGCTCCGTGCCTTAGTTTCCCCATGCGTGTAACAAGTGTGCTGTGGTGTTTGTGCACGGCCCAGGTGCTGGTTTGCACCCAGGGATCTTCTCCCCTTCCCTGCCTTTCACAAACCCTTCTGCTTCCAGATGCAGCTGCTGACCTGCGCCCAGAGATCATTGCTCCCCTGAAGCCTGTGAGAACGCCGGCCCTGGGTGAGGGACTCTCCGGGATCAGCTACGCGCTGGAGGCACTGGGCAGGGGCAAAGCGCAGAGGGGTTGCTAACACCCCTGCCGTGTCCTACCCCAGCATTATTCCAGCCACAGAGAGCTGGAGGCGGGGGGCTCTACTATTGCCAGATTTAGTCAATCATCACGGGTGACCGCTCCGTGCCTTAGTTTCCCCATGCGTGTAACAAGTGTGCTGTGGTGTTTGTGCACGGCCCAGGTGCTGGTTTGCACCCAGGGATCTTCTCCCCTTCCCTGCCTTTCACAAACCCTTCTGCTTCCAGATGCAGCTGCTGACCTGCGCCCAGAGATCATTGCTCCCCTGAAGCCTGTGAGAACGCCGGCCCTGGGTGAGGGACTCTCCGGGATCAGCTACGCGCTGGAGGCACTGGGCAGGGGCAAAGCGCAGAGGGGTTGCTAACACCCCTGCCGTGTCCTCCCCCACCAGTCTCCCAGCCACAGCGAGCGGGAGGCTGGGCGGCCCAACACCAGGGCGGGTAAGACGTGGGTCACACCCAACGTGAGGCCAGCCTCCCTGCCTCCGGGCTGCACAGCAGACACTCCGCTCTCAATGGGGCCTAGCCAAACGCAGGCCCTGCCGGGCTAAAGGAGAGGCCCCCGGCTGGAGCAGGGTTGGGGGTCCAGTGCTGGGGGGCATATTCAGCCCCTGACAGGTGCTCTGAGCAGGGCTGGCATTCCCTGGCAGCGGGCCCCACCTAGCACGGATGCCGTTCCCATGGTGATGTTCCCCCAGCAACAGGCTCCACCTAGCAGGGATACTGGTCCCATGGTGATGGTTCCCTGGCAACAGGCTCCACCCAGCAGGGATGCCGTTCCTATGGTGATGTTCCCCTGGCAGGAGTTGCCCTTCTCTGAGGGTCCCCGGAGCCAGGCCCTGAGGGGGCCATGCCCCTGCCTCGCCCCCTGACACCCCAGGTTACTGTTGCTTTGCCTCCTTGTCCAGGGGACCGTTTCAGTCTCAGCTGCCAGGCTCGGAGCCGCTTCCCGGGGATGTCTCTCATCTACTGGCTGGCAAACGGCTCCTTCGTGGAGGACCGGTACCTGGATGCAGCCGTGAGCGAAGGGGCTGTTAGGTGAGTAGAGACCTGAGCGAAAGGGATGGGCTCCGTGCCCACTAGGAGAGCCGGTGGGGAGGCTGGCCCAGTCCTCCCCCAGGAGCTTATCCCTGCAGGGACAGGCTCGAGGTGGTTGGGGGAAGGGAGAGGCATTTCAGTCCAAGGCCTTGGATCCCAAGTCAGGTGGGCAGTGTTCGGGCTGGTGGGGAGAGGTGCCAAGCCCGTGACAGCAAGGAGGGGGCTTCTCAGCAGCTGAAAATGGGCCCCCAACCCAACACCAGGACCCCCTTGCTCCCCTGCAAACACGCCTGAGAGCCTGTTCCTGCAGCTGCTTCTGGGGTGGGGCAGGGTGACCCCTAGTGGCTGCACAGGGCCCTGGCAGCTCCACCAAGCGGCTGGTTCAGCCTCCCCATTCCCTCACAGAGAGGAGCCTGACAGCAAGGGGACCCTGCTGAGCCGGGAGCTGCTCTTCAGCTCCTTCTCGGTGCAGGACTGGCGCACGTCCTTCGTGTGCATGGTGAAGAACCCAGCCGGGCTGAGCACGGCACCGGTCCACTGGCTGCCTGAGCCGCCCGCCCAGGGCTGGGAGCCCCAGCAGGAGACGATGGAGGACGGACAGCCCCCGAGTACACACACGCCGTTGACTGGTGAGCGCCCTTCATGGCTATGGGCATGGACTGGCCCCACTGCAAAAGATTTGGAGCCACCAAGGGCCAGACTCCCCCCCCCCGGATGTACAGAGTTAGGGTGTGAGCCCCACCTCTGCAGCCCAGCCCTTAATCTTGCTGCGAGGAGCTGCTGGGTTCCACCCCAGCAACAGCTGCATGCCAGGCTCAGAGGGCAGGGAGTCAGCCTGCCCCCTCACTTTCTGGGGCAAGGGCCAGAGGGGAGGCAGCCCTGGCCCCAGGGTGCAAAGGGGAGGCAGCCCCGACCCTGGGACACCGAGGCCAGGCACCATCAGGCTGTGGGGGTGGGCTGCTGCACCAGGAGAGCAAGGCCACAGCTGTGTGGGAACGGCAGGCCCCTGCCCATCCAACACTAACGCCCCTGTGGTTTTCCCCAGGGAAGGGAGCATGGACCGCGCACAAGGACAGCAGTGGACACCGCCAAGCCCCCCCCCCGCCGCCCCCAGCAGTGCCCCCTCCACGTCTCAGGCAGCTGTGCTGCCCTTCCCCCACCCTGCTTGGAGGCCGGCAGGACGGCAGCTCCCCCGGAGTCACCGTGGTGCCTGGACCCCAGCTCTACGCTCAGCCGCGCCCCCTGACTGCTCTGCTGCGCTCCGACACCACGCTGGGGAGGCTCCTGGGGTCGGCCCAGGGCAGCAGCAGTGGGGGCTGGTAAATCCACGTCTCAGGCAGCTGTGCTGCCCTTCCCCCACCCTGCTTGGAGGCCGGCAGGACGGCAGCTCCCCCGGAGTCACCGTGGTGCCTGGACCCCAGCTCTACGCTCAGCCGCGCCCCCTGACTGCTCTGCTGCGCTCCGACACCACGCTGGGGAGGCTCCTGGGGTCGGCCCAGGGCAGCAGCAGTGGGGGCTGGTAAAGGCCCCTGCCTCCTCCCCCCCCCCG